AATACAAGGAAACTTGATTCATTTGGGGATGGTTTGTGTTTGAGAGAAACCCAGGGAAAGTTTTATTTTTACAATTTTGAAGTATTTAATTTTTTTTTTTGCTTGTACATTAATTGAGATCTGTGAAGCAGCAGCACAGCGGTCAGGGGCATGGTGCGATGGGGAGAAAGTTCAGCAAGGCATGCTGGGTAAAACCTGGTCTGGTCTGACCTTCTCGGGTCCTCAAAGCCCCGCCCTGCAGAGGGAACCCAGTTGACCTTCATCAGGAGTCACCATAAAGTTATCTATCACCTTTTATCCTTCTTCTTTGAACCATCAGGGTCATTTAATCTCATAAATTCTGCACTGAGCATTTTCCTTTGGACTCAGCTGAAAATATTTTTTTTACAATGACTTTAGGGAACTTAATACATTATTCCGTGGTCGGCTTGGAGACACGTAATCTGATAATGCCAGCAGTAACAGTGACCGCTTATGTAGTGACTATCCGGGCTATGCCAACCTTTATCCTGAATGGAGGTGGGTACTGTTTTCATCGCCATTTTACAGATAAGCATCTGACGCCCAAAGAAGTTGGGCAACTTGTCCAAGGTCATTCAAACAGTGAGTGGCCGAGCCAGACAGGAAGGGCCCCCAGAGTTCTCACTCATGGTCTCCACGCCAGGCTGCATGACGCCGTGTCTAGAGCCTTTGTTGACTCCCCTCACCTCTAATTTCGCTGGCATATCTGATGCTACTCTGCGGGCTTTCTGTGTGTTTCTCCACTTGAACTCTCCTGTTCATCTCTCCCTGAGTAGCGCTTGCACTTGGTCTGCGGTGCAGGCCTGCCGCAGGGCAGCCCCGCGGCAGAGCCCCGCTCTGTTTTGTGCTGTCAGTACGGAACGAAATTCCTGCGGTTACTGTTGCACAATGGCTCACCCAAAGAGAGTCCGGCGGGCCTTCAGGATATTCCCCCGGAGAGCTGAGAATACTGTGTTGTGACCTCAGAACTCTGAGCAGATCTGTGTAGAAGGGGCGCAGGGCAGAAGGGCAGTTTGAGAACTGCTGAGGTTCAGAAGGACGACGACACTCTCAGCCATCACAGCCTTTCCGCGGGGCCAGCTCCTTGCTTTTTCTTCGGCAAAGCTGCGCTAAGTAATTTCCCCAGAATTAGGGAGGGGTTGGAACATCCTCTAAGAACCCGGTGTCTACAGATTTTCCTCTCTGGATTTATCCGCGCGCCCTCCTTCATGCCATGTCCTCAGGGGCGCCCCGCTGAGGGCAGCCTTTTCAGCTGCTTTGCGATGTTTTGCACAGTCTTATGACAGTAGCAGCTTCGTGGTGTTTCGATGTCTTGGCCCTACTGGTCTCTTGCTTTCAATATGGTTTCAAGCTTTATTTTAAGCAAAAACATTTTTAAACAACTGATCCCTGTTGCAAGGGAAATTGTACATGCAACACCAATATGTAAAACAGGTAACTGTGGAGCTGTTATGGTGAAAAGGCTCTGGAAGACCCAGAATTCCACCCTCCTGCACCACTGTCTCCCTAACCAGTTTAATAGCAATTGAAAACCACTGAATGAGGTCCGAGGTACTTATTTCAATATGTACAAGGGGAGACCCCCCAAAATGGAATTAATTCAAAATTATAAAAATTGTGTATTTATTCTTACATGTTTAAACTTAGTCACCTTCAGAGTGCTCTCCACTTGATGCAGTGCCCCTATCGAGATGTTTTTGCCACTGCTCAAAGCAGTTTTTGAACTTGTCGATTCTGATGCCTTTTAGTGTTTCTGCATTTTTTTCTTTCACCTCTTCCACCTTGGCAAACTGTTTCCCTTTGAGGACTTTTTTCATCCAGGAAACAAAAATTCACTCAAGATGAGACTGGGTGGAGAGGGAGGGTGGGGCCCAGGGGTCATGCTGTTTTTGGTCAAAAACTGCTGAACACTCAGCGCAGGGTGGGCAGGTGCACTCATAAATCACCATCATGAAATGGGCAAACACACTGAGTCTTCAAGAAAAATTCCCTGAAGCTGAACGCAGCCTCTCACAACGCTGCCAGCTGGTACACTGCTACAGATGGGCTCCTAGAACACTCGCCTAACAGGGAAAGCCTGTACTACCAGGGGCCTGCCCTCCAGAAGATAATTCCAGTTTTTAGGGTTCCCCCTTGTACATCATTTTATGTAGAAAAACAAAACAAATTGGGTCTGTGAACACTAAACAGAATGGAGTATAATAGGGCTGAGGTGGCTCAGAAGATATATTTCATGCTTTTCCTTGTTGAATATATCCATAAAAAAAAAAGAAACTAATCTCAGCTCCAAGTCTCTTGGCTTCCCGCCCAGAACTCTTTCCACTTTCTCCCATTGTATTTCTTTTCATCCCTGAGAAGGTGCACATGCACCATCAAGGGAAGCAGACGTCGCTCCTACCCAGAAGCCAGTATTCCTGGGGGTTGGGAAGTTGCCCTATTTAGTGAGACTGCATAGCATGGGTTTCTTCAGAATCCCTTTCACTAGGTGCCAATTTCCAGATCCCATCATTCAAGGCCTTCATTCATTCACTTCTCCCTCCATCTTTATCCTTTCTTCCTTCCATCTGTCCATGCATCCGTCCACTGCCCATCTGACTCACTGTTATTGAACCCTGCTGGGCTAGGCCTGGGGAACAGGATGGTGCCTTCAGAGGGCTCACAGCCCCTGTGACCAGTGCAGGATAGTGTGGAAGGGGTTCTGTAAATGGTCCTGGAACTGGGAGTGAGACCGTGGATGTGTCCACCTGACTTCCTCCATCGTTATCCTCTCACCATCATCATCAGCTTCTACCATCAGAATCACTCCCCCCTCCCCTTTCTCCCCAACAAAATCACAGCAGAAACTCGGCATAGAAAACAAATATAAGCGGGTGGGTCTGGCTGAAGACAGAACAGCCCAGTCCCTGTCCTACAACCCGAAGCCCCTCTCATTTTGCCCTTGAGGTGCCTCCTCAGACAGCCAAGCCTTCAGAACACTGACCTTGACCTCTGTCCTTGGTCTGACATGATTTCATATTCTGATAGTGTTATGTATGTAGCTATTCTTCCTATATGCTAATGCCTCAGTTGTAGAGAAAACTGAATAGATGTATAAATTGAGGCTCTCAGACCTCAAATGGTAACTAGTGGCCTTTTTTATGTCCTTTCAGTTTCTAGCCCCAGAGCTCGCCTTGGAGCCACTACAGTAGGACAGGGGAACACTCTTGACTGGGTCTTCTTCTTCAACAGTCCCCAAACCCGTGTATTTTGCCTGCCCTTTCTCAGTTGAGACACCGAAAACAAAATTACTGCAGGAAAAAAAACAACCCTAAAACTAACACAGGACAAAGGAGCGTATGTACACACGTGTTTGTTTCGAGTTTGAGTAACTTGAAATTATTTAATTACACCTAATTTCCTGTCGGGGGAAGGGAAGTTTCCATCATAATTTGAGGCAAGGGGCAGTTTTGCCTCTGGCAGATTTAAATGAGAAAGTGAAAGCCGGGATCCCAAACAGCCTCTTGAAGGCACATCTGTGCCCGTGGTCTTAATCTGCCTCTTTGTTTGGTTTCTTTTTCTTCTGTAACAGCCTCCGTGACTCCTGCCCACGTGATGCAGTGACATTTGCACAGACAAGCCCCACACGATTTCTCACTGGATTGTAATACAGTGCTCCGGCCTTTTCCAAATGGCCACATAGAAAAGGGCCTAATCATTAGAATGAAGTGATCCCCAGTTTAGAGCCCAACTTCCTGAAGGTTTTCTACCTGCTTCCTTCCATGTAGCTGCCTGTGACTCCTCCATGATGCCCCCCCTCTATGAATGTCTTACTCTGTTCCTCTTCTCTCTCCTGTCTTCTCTAGCCCATTCATCCATTTCATATTCAACTCTAAAAAGGCCAGTAATGAGATTTTTTCAAAGCAAAGAGCTACCTAGTAAACGTATAAAATATTCACATAGGCCAGGGGATAGCCGGTTTATTTCATTTACCAGCTCCCCCACAGTGTTTAAAAATTATTTTTTTGAATCTGAATGCCTTTAAACTTGGCGCATGCTTGCCAGTTTGCCACAGTCCCTTCCATTCCCTGTTGTATTTCACAGCCGCCCTACTTTGTATGTTTACATTACAGGCCTGGGTTAGAGTCAGTCTTGTCCCCGCCCTGAACACCAGGGCTCTTCCAGGCTGTCTTCCTTGGGAATCTTCTGTGTGCGATTTAAAATTCTAGAGTTTTACAAAAGACATTGCTACTTTGAAAAGGAGGAGTTATTAAAAGATATAAATATAGCATTCATTTATAGAAAGCAGTTAAAGAAAGTAAGAGTTGTACTCATTGCTGGGAACATTATAGGATACCAGGCAGTAAATCTTACTGATTTACAGACGAATGAGGTAGGTTTTGTGTGTGACCTTGCAAATTTTACATGGGTTGTTAATTCTGGCTAACAAAACAAATTAAGCCTGAAACATCATTGGAGGCAAAAACGATACAACTGAAGCTGCCCCACTTTGGGCACATCCTGAAAAGGCAGGGTTCTTTGGGAAAAACTAGAAGGCAGGAGGAAAAGATGAAAACGAAATAGGAGGTGGGCCGACACTGGAAAAGGAGCTGTAGGCAGGAGTCTGCAGGAGCCGGGCATGGCTGCTGAGGACAGGACATTGCGGACATCACGCAGCCACGGGGTCACCGGGAGTCACGTAAGAGCAGTGATAGAGCTTTGGTTTGCTGGTAGGGTCTTGGAGCCGCTGGATGCCTTGACAGTGGGTCTTTCATGTCCCCAGTCTCGAATGCCATCCATCCTTCCTGTCCAGTTCTTTCCTTGTCTTGTTCCATATCACCCCTTTTCACCGCGCCCTGCATCCACAGTGTGGCTGCAGTTCTTCTCAGCTGGGCTAAGGACATACCTGTCTACAGAATTCTCCTGACTGTTGGCACTAAACTTGGATGACTATAATTTGTTTCCTCTTTTAACAAAGCTCTTTTTTTTTCCCCATTTCCCAGCAGATATATGGAGTGATCAGTCATTTCAGACCGACCCAGATTTGCCTCCTGGCTGGAAAAGAATCAACGACGTGGCCGGGACCTATTACTGGCACATCCCCACGGGAACGACGCAGTGGGAACGCCCCGTCTCGGTCCCAGCGGATCTTCAGGGCTCTAGGAAAGGGTCCCTTAGCTCTGTAACGCCATCTCCCACCCCTGAGAACGAGGTAAAACGGAATGTCTTTTTAACAACTTAGTACAGGGGGTGCAATTTGTAGTAGTATCTCTTTAGACTCATTGCTTCTGCCCCCACAGGCCATCGAGGTAAGCTCTTTGATTATCATGCATGTTGCACTTGAAACCTCAGCAATGCTCCCTCTTAGTACATAGGGTTAATACCATCTTTCAGGGATGCGTTCATTTTTGAATGGTTTTTGATCTCTCAAAACACTGTTTTAGGTACAAAAAGTAAGAGGGGCTGACTAATGAGAAGTGGTTAAGATTCCCCAGGGCTCACAGAGACAATATTTTACTCTGTAGGTGCCATTGCATGGTGCTGACTCCATGAAATATTTACACACAGAAGAACGTCTCCTGGCCAGACGTCTTATAATTACTGCATATCTTATTATCCTTGGGTTCATCGGATGGCATAGAGAGGATGTCTATAAGAATAACCCTTGAGAGCCCTTAAATGCTTAATTTCTATTTTTAAAAAAGAATCTGTTTATTTAGCATAAATGACATGATTTTAGAAATAATGAGCAGCATAAATTTCTGCTGCCCCTGAGGAAGAGATTTGAATGTTTAAACAAAGAACTGAGGCACTAAAAAATTCCGTTGTGGTATTTATTAATACAAAGAGTCCTGCAGTGAGGCTTTGTAAATCCTGATAACGAAATAGTCAAGAGAATTATATTCGGAAAAGGTCACAATTAAATAAGGGCTTTTTTTTTTTGAGAAAAGTGATTTGATGGCTGACACCAAGACATTTCTGTTTTTTTCTGACCACAGTCTTTTGTTCTTTCAACAACCCGTTTCCTTTTACTTTGGGGCGTGGGTGATGTACCTGCAGAGCTCCTCCATGTACAATATCTGCAACTATCCTCACACTTCCTGCAGGAAACAAGAAAAAGACATCTCGTTCCCTTCATCTTTGATTATTTACTTGCTCTCTCCCCTGGGAGGCAGGAAAGCCTGCACCCCGTTGTTCCTTCCTGGGCTTCAGCATCTCACTCGCCCGGCCTGGGCCTCAGATCCTCCATCTTTCAAGTGCGGGGCTGGGGCGAGCTGTATCCTCACTGGTAGACAAGGGCTGTGGCTTTTTTGTACTTTTTCACAATAATCAGGCACATGCTTCAGTTCCACTGATCCACATAGGATCACTGGGTGATTTTGATAACATTTTATTGGAGCATCATATTCCTTCTCCCTGAACAAATTCCACTCAGTCATTCATTCGTCTTGTGTTAGGTGCACAACCAACACAGCACTGGGCCTCCAAGAGCTTGGCTCAAACTAGAGTCCTCTTCCTATCCCAGCCTAGTCGCATCTCGGCGTGTCTCCCCCGGGCCACAGAGTGGCCTCCCAGAGTCCGAGCCAGCCGGGATGCAGCCTCTGCTCTCACTAAGGCACAGATATCCTCTCTGTTTCTTGCCTGTACGTCTCTGCTCTTGGGCTTCATTGTAACCCTTCACCCACCGTCACCCATGAGAAGTGCCAGGGGTGGGAAAGGATTGTCCGACACCAGTATCTATCGAATGGAGACAGGGAAACTGAAGCATGGAGAGGTCAGTGATTACCAGCAACACTGGGTGTAGAACTCAGAGTTCCTGAATTCTCCTGAATTCTAGGCCAGAGTTCTTCTCACTCCTCTTCCTTGGCTTTGGAGGTTTCAGCCTACTCCACCTTCGTGTTGTCCCAGAGGCGAGGAGATTGGAGTACCTTTGAGATCCTCTTTCTGCTCAATGACTCTCTTATGCTCCTTGGAAGAAGTGAAGTCCTTTTTAAAGCTTGCCTCCCGGGGCCAGGGTTTGGTGTGGTGGAGTCCAGGAGGGCATCCCAAGGTTTCTGTGGCTCCGATTTTCATTTCCTTGATGAGTAGGGTAGACTTGCATTACCATGTTTTGGGAACAATGCACCACCAGTGGGCAGCTGGCCCGGAGAAAAGTGTCAGGTGGCAGAGTCCACCTCAGATCTCTCAGCTTCTTTCTGATGCCCACTTTGGCCTCTTCTTAGCCCTCTCTGCACCTGCTTTCTCCTTCCCATCCACAGGTCAGGGTGCCTCCCCATGGCCTTCCCCCCGCTGCCCTTCCTAGAGTGCAGTGTGTCCCTCACACAACCTCAGTGCTCAGCGCCCGGCTGCTGTTTATGACTTGTTGTGGCTTTCTGGATATTTTCATAAATGTCACCCCATTTGTTCCTTCAATACCCTCCATGTGGCAGACAAGACCGCTGTTACATTCCTTACCAAAGAAAAGAGGTAGCTGAGGTTCAGTTATTGGTGTAGCCCCGCAGCTGGAGTTGGGGTGGGTGTGCATCCAGTTCTCGTTCCAGATCCTGTGCTCTGCCCAGGACTGTGAATTTCCACCAGGCTCTTGGTTCTGTTCCTCTCTTCTGTTGCTAACCATGACTTTGTTTTTGACAGAGTCTTATCCTTCCAGGGAACTTTGTTAATGGATGTGTAGTTTTTAAAGTTTCAGAGAGAGCGTGACTCATATCCAGCACTCTAATTGACCAATGGGATCAGTGTTCTGCAGATCAACCTTTCCATTGTTTGCTTTCTACACGTTTTTCCCATACTTAAAGTCATCTATTGTGTCAAAGAACCAAGCAGATTTAAGAGGCAATAAACTAAAATCATAGGGGCAAAGAGGTAAGCAGGTAGAGAGAAGAGGAAGGGGGGAAGTGTTGGGGAAAAGACCCAGCCTGCCCACACCCAGGGTGTGCAGATGCCGCAGTGGCTGTTTAATCGGCAGCACTGAGGGTGATCGAGCATGCACAGGGCCAGGCTCACGCCTAATCACCCTACTCCTCATAAAACCCTGTGCACCTGGTACTATAGTTGTTGTTCCCCTTTTACACTTGACAACGCTGAGACTCAGAGAAGTGAAGGAGCTTGTCCAAGACCATGTGCCTAATTCATGATAGAGGCAAGCTTGAATGAAGGTCTGTTGACCCCCACCCCTCCCGCCAGCTTCGCTCCACACTGTCCATCCGGAGGCTTGCAGAGCCTGGAATCTCTTCACCTCACCCCCAGGGAGGGCTGTGTCGTGTACTGAGCCTTCTAGAAAATGACTTATGTTGATAACATTGCCTCAGGTGCTAATAACAGTTAAAGAGAAGCGATACCATTTCTTTGATTCCTAAATAGAATCTATTTCAACTAATTTGGAAACATGAGGGGAAGCAAAATGTTAAGGGAGAGAAGAAACTTGTAATATGTTGTGCTAGAAATGCATATTTTATTCAGCTTTTCTTGGAGCTGTCTTTTAAAAAAAATCAAATAAGTGCCAAATCTGTTGACTCAGCTTACAAAAGTTTAGGACTGAAGGCTTCCTTGCAGTTTGACAATTTTACATATCACATTCCAGAGTTTACTGGGGAAGTGTTAAGCACAGCGGATAATGTTTCCTCTGCACATGCCGGCAGTATTTTTGAAAGTTTATAAACTGGCCAGGAAGCATTTGCTGCTGAGATTTGGCCTGTGAGCATCTCCCCCCAATCCATCGATTTGTTCCAAATTACTCAGATGTTGAATTTTAGAAGAGGGAGCCAGACAAAATATTTTTAGGAATAACTATTACCCCATATGCAAGTCTTTCCTATAACCTTTCCAACCGAAGGTGTTCTCAGTTCCTTAAGAAGGGAGTGGGGAGAAGGAAGGGGGGTTTTGTTTGAGTTGTGGAATTGCTTTTCGAGATCTCAGAAGAGAAATACAGAAGACGAAAGCTCTCAGTAGTCCAGGTTATAGACTTGAGCCCCTTTAGTGGGTCCGTCCTCATATGGCTTCTGCAGCGTGGTTGAGAAGGGTGCCATGCCCCAGGGGCTGGGTCAGTCCCCCGGGGCGCACTGGCTCTGAAGAGCTAAGGCTCCAGGGCCCTCCCAGGACTGGGCATAATCTCTGTCGTAATCGCTGCAGCCTGGGCAAGGTCAAGACGAGCACCAGGAGAACATGTCCCCAGCTCTAACTCTGGCACCAGAATGTCAGTCCGCTGTGCCTCCTGAAAGATCACCCACTAGGAGGTCCTTGCCCGTGGAAGCTGGTCTCTGCTCTTCCTTTGCCCCCCCCACTTTTCCCTGCCTCTGTGCCTGTGTCTGTGCCCCACCCACCTTGTCCTCTCTCATTGTCTTTTCGTCTCTTCTGCCGTATCTCACTCCCGACTTCCAGACAGCAGACTGGGGTGGCTGCGGACTTTCTGGAGAACCAAAGAATCTCTGATGGGTTATTGTTCAAAAAAATGTATTAGCTATAATACTGTATTCTCTCCTCCTAATTAAAAAGAATTAGATGAATAGAATACGTAGTTCTTAAACTTAAAACAAATTGCTTTTGTCTTCCATTGTCCTTAATTATAAAAAAAAGACAATTATGGTTACTCATGGGAGAGAAAAGAATTTTTTTAATGACTATTTTTAAATATATAGAAGGGAAAAAAGGCCTTTGGCCTAATCGTACATAAAATGTTAGTTTCCATTTTTCCTTACTTGATTTCTGTATGAAAGGGTTTTTTTAGGGGTGCCCATGTTATTTTAAGTTTTTGCAAAATCGCTGTGCAAGACCTTTGTTTATTTAAATTTGTGCAGGGTGATTGTTGGCGCTGAGCCAGCTGACTCGCGTCTGCAGGGCCTGAGAGCTAGATTCATGTCGGTCTGGAAACGTGACCGACTTGTACTCTGTGGGGACCCTCTCGTCCAAAGAGTAAATACATTAAACATTTTTAAGCCACACACACTGACAGAGAACTTTTTATTAAATGCTGAAAGTTTTTCTGCATACTTGTTTTTAAAAATTCTCTTCTTTCAGCCTTGCCAGTTCCAACAGAGTGTCCCTGGAGTATCGTTAGCAATATCAGATCCTTCTTGTCAGACATCCACCCTTTGAAAAAAAGGTCTCCACAAAAACACAATTATCTTAGCCTTCCTAATTCATCATCTGATATCCCTGTTCCAGTTTGACTTAAATGAAAACCCAGTATTGCTCACATGTACACCGTGATGATGATTT